AATTGTTATAAGTTGCATCAACGATTTAACAGACTTTAATTGCAGTGTTCTTAATCTTTATAAGTTAGTAGTACTGTTCGGGGTAGGTATGTGGGGGCGTGTTAGAACGAGCCGTTTTAGGTAGGTGTGGCTGACTCTTAACTTTTATAAAGAATATCTCTTTGGATTTGAGACTTTAGTCTTTGCAACTTTACAGATCTTCTTTATGCACCAAGAGCTTGTAACACTCCAAAGAGAAAGGAAAACTTGAAATCGCATCATATGACCCCTTTAATGCTTTAAAGACACTAATGGCTTTTGGACTTGAAGGCTTTAAAAAAAGTCTTTGTTCCTATGGCCTGCAGAAACATGGTGGTAGCCATGAAGGAGCTGTCAATCAGAGGAGATTTCAGGACCACAGTGGAGTATCTCATCAAGCTACTAGAGACGGAGAGTTTTAGGAACAATGACATCGATACTGGCTGGCTAGATCACCTTATTGCAGAGAAAGTGCAGGTAAGACCCAAACCTGGGAAGAGAACTGTCCCAAATCAAGACATGCTAAATAAATTTGAAGTCATTTAATGTAAAGTGACATTTGTTTTATTGTATGTTTCTTTCAGGTGGAGAGGCCAGACACCATGTTAGGTGTGGTATGCGGTGCTCTACAAGTTGCTGATGCAAGTTTTAGAGAGAGCATGTCTGACTTCCTGCATTCACTGGAGAGGTATTACCACTACGCGGGCACTCCAGCATCTCAGGCATTGAAAACCCAAAGAAACCACTATAATGTTACAGCATTCTGTGTTTGAATGTATTTCTGGATGTTTCAGGGGTCAGGTGTTGCCTGCTGCTAGTCTCGTCAACACAGTCAATGTTGATCTAATCTATGATGGAGTCAAATACTGCTTACAGGTAACATAAAAAACACTAGAATCCCTTTGATCATCTTTTGATTCATGACTAACAAACGTGAATGTGTGTGTTTGTGTCTGCGGTACAGGTGGCTCGCCAGTCACCCACCACGTATGTTATCATAATGAATGATTCAGATATTGAAGTTGATGTCCATAGACTCAGTGATGGCGGTCTACTACTTTCCTATGGTGGCAGCAGCTACACAACCTACATGAAAGAGGAGATTGACAGGTGCACAGCGAAGAAGAGGTTTTGTGCTGTATACCACAGTGTACTTTCATATGTACCAGCTGATGTTTATTTGGTCTTTTGTCATATGATGTGTAGCTACCGCATCACAGTGGGCAACAAAACGTGTGTGTTTGAGAAAGAGCGAGACCCTACGGTGCTCAGGTCACCCTCTGCTGGCAAGCTGTTGCAATATGTAGTTGCTGATGGTTCTCATGTTCTGGCCACCCAGCCTTATGCTGAAATTGAGGTAAAGATGAAGGAGAGTATTTTACATTTCTAGGTAGCAGTTTCTCTTTACAGAATGCACTTTTTCATATACTGTATATGACCTTATGTGGCACTGACAGAGATGTTTTAAATTGCTTATTAGAGTGGTTGTTTGCTTTTGCCGTCTTTTTACAGGTCATGAAGATGGTGATGACCCTGCATGTCCAGCATTCAGGTTGCATTCACTTTTTAAAAAGACCAGGAACAGTATTAGAGCCTGGGTGTGTAGTGGCCCGAATGGACCTGGATGACCCTAGCTGTATTCAGCCGGTGATTCGTCTATAATTTCTCCTCACAAGAGAAGCACATGATCAAATCCACTTGCTGTTTAGTATTGTTTACATTTAGTCATTTAGCAGACGCTTTTATCCAAAACAACTTAGAAATTAGGACAATAGAAGCAATCAAACCAAGAACAGAATAATAATGTGTAAGTGCTGTGCACTTGGCCGGTGATTCGTCTATAATTTCTCCTCACAAGATGAAGCACATGATCAAATCCACTTGCTGTTTAGTATTGTTTACATTTAGTCATTTAGCAGACGCTTTTATCCAAAACAACTTACAAATTAGGACAATAGAAGCAATCAAACCAAGAACAGAATAATAATGTGTAAGTGCTGTGCACTTGCAGGTATCAAGGTTTTTTTTATAATAAATTAAAAAAAAAACAAGTAGATAGGATCGAAATAGAACAAAGAATGCTAGTGTTAAGAGTGTTGGGCAAATGTTGAAAATTTCATAGTCCCATTTAGCTGTTTGGCCCAAAGATGTATTGGGACAGTTTGACTACACTTAAAAATGTACTGTATGAATGTGATTGCTGTATATAAGAAAATTATTGTGAAGTGGCAATTAGTTGTTAAGTGACAATTATTGCAACGAAAAATAGCCCAAGCACACTTTTCAAGCAACATAATATATATGATAGTCTGTTCTCAATGAAGAGTGTTTTGATTCCTTCTGGTTGTCAGATGTTAGTGTATCATGTTCATAATTAATGTGATGAACTATTCCTGTGAGGAACTGACTTGATAAAAATCACCTTGAAATCAGCTTGTTAAAAGTAAAAAGTCAGTTCTGTGAAAAGATGTAGCATAATTTGATATCTAATGCATTCATGCATTCTTGAATGTAATTCATGCATGTTTTAGTGTTCAAATAATTTTTGGGGCCACAGTTTTGGCTTTTTACCAGTGTCATTTATAGACGTACTGCCATCTGTGATGAGAAGTATTAATTCTCAGTCTACTCCATCAGGTAAAGCCGAATACAGAGCCGTTACCATCCCAGGAGCCTTTACCTGTTGTAGGGGAGAGGCTTCACCAAGTGTTCCACAGTGTTCTGGAGAACCTGGTGAAAATTATGGATGGATACTGTCTACTGGAGCCATACTTCAGTCAAAAAGTCAGAACACTGATCAGACTCAAAGTAGCATGAAAACAGTGTGCAGTTTGGTCTGTTAACTATCGATATGCCGTTGCAGCTGAAGAAGTGGCTCGACACGCTGATGAAGACTCTTCGGGATCCATCTCTACCTCTTCTTGAACTACAGGAGATCATGACCAGCGTGGCAGGGCGTATACCAGTTACTGTGGAGAAGGCAATTCGAAAGGTCATGGCACAGTACGCCAGTAACATTACCTCTGTGCTCTGTCAGTTCCCCAGCCAAAGGGTGAGTGATGAAATTAATATACTTATCTGGAACATAGATTGTGCTCATATCTCTAGACCGTATTACATAGAGTCAAGTGTAACTTCAAATAAGCAAATTTAGTTGATACCAATTTATATTACTTGACAGATTCTCTTTGCAAAGATACTGTGTACAATTTAAGTTGTGGGGGCATAAACCGTTTTAATCAGTTTTCAATCAACACTTCCAGATAGCAAACATACTTGACAGCCATGCTGCTACCCTTCAGAGGAAAGCTGACCGAGAGGTTTTTTTCATGAACACTCAAAGCATTGTGCAACTGGTACAAAGGTGAGAATTGCCTGATGACTAGCTCAGACTGATAACATAATAGATTCTACCTCAGCTGAGACCCAAAGACTTCTCTGTTAAAGGGGTCCTATTATGCTCTTTTACAAAGTCTTGATTTTGTTTTGGAGGTGTACTAGAACAAGCTCTCATACTAGGTTGTTCGAAAAACATTATTTTTCACATATTTTACATTATTACAACACCTCTCTCCTCAGTCTGGCATGAACGGCTCGAATAGTTCCTGTATCAAATGAAAGCCCGCCTTCTGAAATACGAAATGTGCTGTGATTGGTTAGCTGGGCCAGTGTGTGTTGTGATTGGCTCCACTCGGCGCCTGGTCGGGAAATGTCATGCCCCTTACCATAGCTGCCTGCTGCGAGCTTCAGTGTAAATATTGCGTCAAAATCAAATCAATTTGAGCGCGATTTAAACCAGGATGATTGTAACCCCTCTAAGTTCGTCTGCCTTGGGAAAGCTAGCGTGTCTCCGACATAGTGATAACACTCGTTGCCTTCTCTAGTGCAGCTCAACCAGGTCTCGTCCCATTCGTCGATCTTTGTGATATCACAAATCCCGGAAAATGTGCGTTGTAGTCCAAACGAGTCGTTCGTTGTAGTTTTTGAAAAGTGATTTCTGTTAAATAAAATATCTCCTTTTGAATTGGACTTTGAACTTTGCAGATCTTTTTTATGCTCAAACAGCAACATTACAGACTAACTAAAGTTGAAAAAGTGAAAAAACATAATAGGACCCCTTTAACTAGAAAATGTCACTATACACCTGTTTTTAATCATTTTAGGTACCGAAGTGGCATCAGGGGGTATATGAAATCAGTTGTGCTGGATCTTCTGAGACGGTACCTTCAGGTGGAGATGCAGTTTCAGCAGGGTAAATGTCCCAGTGTAATCTTTATACTACTGTCACAGCAGAGCAAACAGAAGATGATTTCAGACGTTTTACCTTTTTTCTTTTTTTTTTTTTTTCCAAACATATCTGGAAAAAGTTCGATAAAGGACATAAATCTGAAAATGGTTAGTTTTAATTTTTTTAATTTAAAAAGTGTAATTTTCTCATTCTCGTGACAGCTCATTATGATAAATGTGTCATCAACCTAAGAGAGCAGTACAAGCCTGACATGACTCCAGTACTGGAGTGCATCTTCTCCCATGCTCAGGTCTCCAAGAAGAACGTCCTAGTCACCATGCTCATAGTAAGATCCTTTCTGAAATACTTACCAGTGCTTATTTATTTTATTAAGCTGTGGCTTTGCAAGTTGATTCCACTCGGTCATTATGAAAATAGCAACAGAATTATTTCAACAGAAAATTTCATTGATACATTTTGTGCTCGTTTAAATTATAATGCAACATTTTTTTCAGGACCAGCTCTGTGGCCGGGACCCGACTCTTGCTGATGAGCTCATGGTCATTCTAAATGAGCTCACACAACTCAGTAAAATGGATAACTCTAAAGTAGCACTTCGGGCCAGACTGGTATGAACCTCAAGGGCTGTGATCTTTGAACTCCAGCACTTATGTTAATGTTGACTCTGTTCAAAACTGCATTCTGTACTGTACTGTTTTATCAGTATATAAAGTGTTTTCAACTTTGATAATGTGACACTGAAGTATAGAGTAATGGCTGCTGAAATTTTAGAAAATAGTAAACTGCTATCTTAAATTGTAATATTTCACAGTATTCCATTTTTACTGTATTTTTACTGTATGGAGCCTCGATGAGCCTTTTCAAAAAATATTTTTTCAAAAAATCTTACTTGAAACTGGTAGTGTATACTGTGTAAAGTATGCACATAGGATAACCTACAACATTTTTTTCTAAAATAATTCAGTATCCCTTCCATTTCCAGTATAGCATCATATCTCTTTTTGACTATATGATTGGACAGCCAAAAGTTACATTTTACACACAAAGCTACATTTTGTGAAAACAGAACATCACACTCTAAATAAAACATTGAATATTGTGTAGTCATGTGATAACAAAATAGCATACTCATTTATAATGCTTATTATTTAGAAAAAATGCTTATTTAGAAAAAAAATATTTGGCAGCGTACAGTATATACAACACATTATGCACTAAGCAGTACACCGGCAATAACAACTCTCTATGTTTCTTCAGGTGTTGATTGCCTCTCATCTGCCCTCATATGAACTCAGACATAACCAGGTGGAATCCATCTTTTTATCCGCTATTGATATGTATGGGCATCAGTTCTGTCCCGAGAACCTCAAGGTAAAGCATCAGCGATTCTTTTGTCTTTACCGCTTTAACACTTTTATATATTTGATTATCTAAATCCTGCATTTGCAGAAACTCATCCTGTCTGAAACCTCCATCTTCGACGTCTTGCCCAGTTTCTTCTACCACAACAACCGGGTGGTTTGCATGGCTGCCTTAGAGGTCAGTAAAGCTTGACCTTTTCTTCCCAAATGTTAGTGGTATGCAGTCAGGCCTTTCCAATGTATTGTGTGGGAATTCCTCAGGTATACGTACGGAGGGGATATATAGCGTATGAGCTAAACAGCCTTCAGCATCATCAGCTGCAGGATGGAACATGTGCAGTGGATTTCCAGTTCATGTTACCATCATCCCACCCTAACAGGTATAGCTGCAACCACATGTAGATTCTTTATGTACTGAATAGGGCTTACAAATACGATCCAGATGCTGAAATCTCCAGTGTACTCCCATGACTTCGAAATACACACAATGGGATTGTTGTGACCTACTCTTTTGTTTATAGAAGCTTTTTGGTATGATCTTTATGAGCGGTAGTTAATGAACTGAGCTGTGGCGCTTAACAGGCCACACTGTTCATGTAATAGAATAACAATAAAATTTTACCTGGATATATAGTACAACTGTTTTCTAGTCTGAATGTTTCTGTATGATCCCCTGTAACATTTATTCTCCTATTTTGACATTGTTTTCTGTGTATCTCTCCTCTGAAAGAGAGCCTTACGCCTCATTGAGCCAGTCCGTGCCCAAACCCACGTAATACGCTCTTTATTTTTTAGCATCTATTTAATGAAGTAATATATAACAGAGTGCACAAAAACAGATTCTTTCTTACACTCCTAACTTCCCACTTTGGTGTAAAGCCTGGTTTGAGTTTCCTTTACTAAGCTATACTGGGAGATGGTATTGAGCACAGCACAGGGGCAAATGGATTTCACACCATCACGCTGGGGGGATTGATCAACTTGTTTTGAGTATGAAAGAAAAAGGTACATAAGTGATTAGATTGCAATTAGTTTTACACATAGTCATAGGTTTTAATGATTTAAAATAGACACTGAATCATTTACTTTCTTTGTATATATAAGTCGACATGAAATCAAAATTGACCCTGTTTACTTTGCTACACATTCCTGGCCTCATTTGTGAACGATTCATCAAAAATTTTGTCTTTTTGTTTTGTCATCTTTCATCAAAATATAATAATCAGAAATATGTCACATTATTGAAGTAAAATGGGTTGTGAACACCTTTTCATGTTGATTTTAAATATTAAAGCATCAAAACAAAACCTTTATAGAAATATTTACATTTCTTCAAAAGTCAAAAATATTGTTTTCTTTAAGTCAAAGCAGATTGGTCAATCACACTGAATCACGTTATAGGGATAGTTCACCCAAAAATGAACATTTTGTCATCATTTGCTCACCTTCATGTTGTTCCAAACCTATATGAGTTTCTTTCTTATGTTAAACATAAAAGAAGATATTTTGAAGAATGCTGGTAAGCAAAGAGTTGATGGTCCCCATTGGCTTCCATAGTTTCTTTCCCTACTATGGAAGTCAATACAACTGTTATGTTCTTCAAAATATCTTGTTTTGTGTTCAACATAAGAAAGAAAGGTATACAGGTTGGGAACGACATGAGGGTGAGAGTAAATGATGACAAAATAAAACTATTCCTTTAACTGGGCTGTTCTGTATATGAATAGTATAAGGATTATAGCTTTAGATGTTTTCTCATAAAATGCAAAAAGTGATTCCCTTACAGTTACATTTGCTTGCTAATTTTCACCCTAATGATAAATAATGATTCAAATCTATTTAGATTTTTTTATAGACAAATATTTCTACTAAGATTGTTTTTAACATAATCATGATAGAAGGAGATCCAGAGTTAGAGGATGACGATCCAATGCTAACAACTCACCTGCTCTCATTTCAGAGGGAGCAGTCCTACTTTGAACAGGTAGAGTACAGCTCCTCCCTGCAACCAGTCAGCCTTGTGTGTACAGAACCACATAGTATGTCTGCAGCAATGCATGCTGGATGCAACTGTTTAATGACTTGAAGAAATTTAGCCTACAGGGTATTCCTTGTTTTAATTTGGATTTAATGACTCAGATAATTTTGTCAATTTATTGGGTAATTCTACAATCCTAAATTGGCCTTAAATGTGCTTTCAGTCAACACAGTATTAAAATGTGGAATGCATTTACCAATCCATTCCTGAACTCTTGCCTGTTTAATTTAGATGAGCCACATAATCCAATTTCACTCAAGCTGAGACCATCAGGAAGATCACCGAGTATTTTGCATTTAAACTTGTGCTTTTTCCATCCAGCACAAGCAGTGCCATTAGTTTAGCATCGTATTTGGTACCCATAATTCCTTACTTTTGCCCTTTTGCACTCACACACACGCATACACCGTCCTCTCCCCTCTCAGATTGTCTGTTCCTGTGAATGATACGGGAGAGTTTCAAACAATGCGCCGTCAGGGCAGTGAGCTCTTCCTTGAGGGGGCGCTGTCGCCCCCCTGTCAGAGGATGGGAGCCATGGTTGCTTTCCATAGTTTTGAACACTTCAAAAGGTGCCTTCACTTTTTTTTTTCCTTATAAATCGAGATTTTGTTTAAATGGTTAATATAATCTGATCTGTGATTTGATTGTATTGTAGGTGTTTTGATGAAGTGATCTGCCGCTTTGCGGATCCGCTTTGTGAGAGTTCTCTGTTCTCTGATGGCTGTTCCACCTGTGATGGGGAGAGCTGTAAGGTCAGAGTTAGGAGAAGAAACAAATAGGGATGTAACGATTCACTCAACTCTCGATGTGATATGATTCACAGTACTGATTTCACATTATGATTTTCTCACAATTTTTAACACAATGAGATTTAATTTAATTTTAATGATTTATGCATTTAGCAGACGCTTTTATCCAAAGCGACTTACAGTGCATTCAGGCTATACATTTTTTATCAGTATGTGTGTTCCCTAGGAATTGAACCCACGACCTTTTGCGCTGCTAACGCAGTGCTCTACCGCTGAGCCACAGGAACAAATTTAAACAAACAAAAAGATTTAAGACAAATCATGAAAGGTGTCCTTTTATTATTGCTTGGACAAAATGCTGCACATTTCTTTGTGAAATTGAAATATGTCAAATAACAAAACTAAGCTGAAATTTTAAAACAAACCCCAAATCAAATAAATAACTCAAATTATTTTCATATAAACAAACTAAGGCTTTGCCAGTGCTCTTTCCATTTAAAATGAGAGAAAATGACTGCATTTTAATCACGATCCAAACAAAGATACTGCATACATGCAGCATGAGCAGTTTTTAATCTAAGTTAGATTATGTAATTTCAAAATTTGAAGCAAAAACAGAATGGTCTGACTTTAGTTTTGTGAAACTATACTACATAAAACATACCTGCACGAAAAACAAAAACAGCAGATGGGCTGAATGAAAACGTAAATTCACTTTCTGCCAGCAGGTGGTGCTTATGAAACAGTGGCAATATAGCGTTTGGTTGCCACTGTAAAGAAAGCAGCACTTTAATATGCATTATACAGAGGCAAGATGAAAATAAAATACCATCTAAACTTTACTAAAGACAGTCAGTTCCCCTCAAAGATACATTCATGTAAACTCCGTTGTATTGCGATTCGTTTAACGTCTCAACCAACTTGAATCGTCACGTATTTGTATTGATTGTCAAACGTCTAGGGCTTCATCATTACATCCCTAGAAACAAACTCTAATATTAACTCGAAAAATATTTCACCCAAAAATTTAAAAATATGTCATCATTTACTCAGCCTCATGTCATTCCAAACACATTTGACTTTCATTTTTCTATGAAACACAATATTTAGTTAATGGTTGATATCACTGTACATATGGTCTGTCTCTGTTTCAGAACATGAAGGAAAATCCCATACACATCATAAATGTGTCAATCAAACAAGCAGACACTGAAGATGATGATGCTTTAGTCAAAGATTTCACTGCCTTTGCTAATTCTAAAGTAAGTATGTTAAAGACTTGTCCTTTTAGCTGTGTGTGCTGCTCCATGACTTAACTCTCTTTGTGCCTCATTTCAGAAAACTCTGCTCTATGAGTATGGAATCAGAAGAATCACATTTTTAGTTGCACAAAAGGTGAATGCTCAGATACACAACTGACAAAATATGTTGTCAGTCAAAAAAGATTCAAATGAAAAATGCTAAAATGATAAATCTTCCCCCTCAAGCGGGAGTTCCCGAAGTACTTCACGTTCAGGGCCAGAGATGAAGTGAGTGATGCATGTGTTGATTTGATCATTTAGAAATGTACATTATAGAGTAACAACTGAACATTGTCCTTCTTTTTCTCTTTAGTTCCATGAAGACAGAATCTACCGTAACCTGGAGCCTGCTCTGGCCTTCCAGCTTGAGCTGAATCGTATGCGCAACTTTGATCTGACGGCCGTTCCCTGTGCCCATCACAGGATGCAACTGTACCTGGGTGCTGCTCGTGTGGAAGAGGGTGCAGAGGTCACAGATTATCGCTTCTTTATCAGAGCCATCATTCGCCACTCTGACCTCATCACCAAGGTAAACAATATTACTACTAGACAGTATGAAGTATTGTATTTAATAGAAATGAAGCTACAATATATTTAAAACCTTTAAGGAATACTTATTAATTGTTACCATGCCATGATTTTATTTTTCACAGTCTTTTATTTTGTCTGTGAATATTTGGGTCAGAACTCTTGTGTTTACATTAGTCTAACTGGACACCATCATAAATGCATGCTTGAATAATCCTTGGCACAAATCCTAAAATATTTTACTATCCTGAATAGAATTTTTACACATATTTGTGCAAAATTATTTTTGTTTATAGTACACTAGCATTTAAAATATGGGGTTAGAATTGTAAGATACAAAAAAAAAAAAAGCTTTTGAAAGAAATTTCATCAGCCATTACTCCAGCCTTGAGTGTCACACAGTCCACAAGAAATCATTCTGATATGCTGATTTGGTGCTGAAGAAACATTTATTGTTATTAGTGTATTGTAAGATTCTTGTGAAAACTGTGATGCATATTTCTTTGTTGCAAAATGTGTAGAAATGTAAAAGAACAGCATTTATTTGAAATAGATTTTTTTGCAACAATTTAAAAGTCTTTATTGTCACCTTTGAGAAATTGAATGCATTCTTGCAGAATAAAAGTATTAATTTTTTATTAAAAAACAAAACAAAATAAAAAAACTTACTAACCCCAAAGCTTTTAATGCTAGTTATTGATATACATTATGTCCCAAATTGCTTCCAACTTACACTTGTTTCAGACTTTGCAATTGAAAGTCATTGACAATAGATGTAAAAATGTTAATACTAATGCATAAATCTTAAATATAAACCAGAAATCCAAAGTTCTTATTTCATATTAAAAAAAAAATGACGTAGGTTGTTGATGGGTATTTGTAGGGTATTTTTATATATGTTCTATATATTAAAAAAAAAAAAGCGTTTCTGATTTTATTTTTTTCACCCTTTCTGTAGGAGGCCTCGTTTGAGTACCTGCAGAATGAGGGAGAGAGGCTGTTGTTGGAAGCGATGGATGAGCTTGAAGTGGCCTTCAGTAACATAACCACTCGTACTGACTGCAATCACATCTTTCTCAATTTTGTACCCACTGTTATTATGGATCCCTCAAAGGTTAGATTCAAAAACATGAAACTCTTTTTCTTTTAACTCTTAAATGTATTAAATCATCGCTACTGCCAGTGTTCCTGAGCTGTATTGCTCAGTCTTCTTTTCCTACAGATAGAGGAGTCCGTCCGCTCAATGGTGATGCGGTACGGTAGTCGTTTGTGGAAGTTGCGTGTTCTCCAGGCTGAGCTAAAGATCAGCATCCGCCTCACCACCAGTGGAGATGTCATTCCCATCCGCCTCTTCCTCACCAATGAGTCCGGCTACTATTTGGACATCAGCCTATATAAGGAGGTCACTGACCCCTCCACTGGACAGGTACAATCTACATTTACTGGATTATGATTATACCACATGACACATTGGCATAACACGGAGTAGTCAAGGAGGAATAAATGTGTGAAGGAATTCCTTTTTCTTTTTTCAGTTTTTGAGAGTCACTGCTCAAGTGCAGAACATTCAATGGTCGAAAGTTCAGTGGTACATCAGCTCAGACACAACAGCAGCTGCTTCATAGATCTGTGTTTATCAATATGCTTTTGTACTCAGTACCATTTCTTCAGCTGACCGTTTTCTTCCTACCAACATCAAAAGACTGCTAAACCACAACACAGGGTCATGAGTGTAGCTTGCACAAACAATGGCTAATTCAATATCGTTTATGTGCTGTGCTTTCATCTCTATTTGTCTGTGCTCTAAAGTGCATTTGCATTTCCTCTTGCCAACTGAACCTGATTCACTACTGACTGCCACATTAGACCTCCATGAAGTTGGCACCCCATAAAAAGAAATAATCACCAAAACTATTGCATCAAAGCCCAGGTTGCTTTGATAGATTTACTGCAGGCCAAACGCTCCTTTAATAAAATACCTATACAGACATAATAAATTCAGACATAATTTAACTAAAATTAAAATAAATAACAAATACAAATAATACAAATCAAATGACAGTAGTTTATCAGTAATCCTAAAAAATAACACTGCCAAACACACATGCTAAAAAATGAAACAAGTAATAGAAAAGAGGAGAAATAAAAAGCGATACTTATCCTTTGCCGGTGTCCTGCCCGGTGGAGTCGCACGGTAGAGTCGATGGTCTTTACACTCTTCGGTCTTCACACGAGGAGGCCTTCTCGCGACGGCTGCCGCAGTAAACTAAGCTTTTTTTATACTCGTCTAACAAAATACTAAATTAATTCAGCTGGACACACTTTCCTTATTTTCTCCACAACAAATGGCCAAGCAAGCGCAGACACTGACAAGATACGCGATACAGAACGAGACCAAACCGAGCGGCAACCTCCCGCTCTCTCTTGTGAAGTAAATTTAGTTTTGTTATTTACATTTACAGTAACCTATATTTAAAAAAATTTATTTAGCAGACGCTTTTATCCAAAGCGACTTACAAATGATGACAATAAAAGCAATCAAAACCAACAAAACAGCAATAATATGCAAGTGCTATATTAGTATATTATTATAGTCTTATATTTCAGTTTCACAAAGAAACGTGCAGCACTTTGTCCAAGCAATAATAAAAGGACACATTTAATTTATAATTTGTCTTAAATCTCATTTTGTCGTGCATCAAAATCGTGAATCAAATCGAATCGTGAGTTGAGTGAATCATTACATCCCTAGTGGAGAGTGACGTCACATGGTCAAAAAAATAATGTTTAATGTCTCAAACACCAAACCAGCACAAACGTTCGTTTTTGCTGCACAAACGTAGCACAAACAAATGGCATAGTTTTGGTGATTATTTCTTTTCATGGGGTGCCAACTTCACGGTGGTCCACGTTAGCTTGGCCATCTAAAAATAGGAAAAAACACAATTTTTGATACTGTTGTTAGACTTTTTTCCTATTTGAACATGATCTTGAGGGTTTCAGTCTTTCCCCCATTTAAGTAGATAAAAGTTGTACTTGCATTACTGTAAACCAATAAATTACCGGAACTATGTCCACTGAGTGAGACTTTGATGTTGAACAATTCTAGACAGGCTAGAAATCAAATACTACAGATTTTATTAGAATAGATTACCTCATAAGTATTTGCTTTGCATATTGCTGTTGTAACAGTGCAACAAACTTATTAACTCCACTGCCACCTACGTCCACAACAGTATCTGAAAACCCCATGGCTTCTCCATTTTTTTCATAATTTACTGAATAAGGGTTAAGGATAAGGATTTTTTAAAATGCTTACTTACATCTGCAGATAATGTTCCAGTCGTTTGGAGACAAGCAAGGTCCACTGCACGGCATGCTAATCAACACACCGTATGTCACAAAAGATTTACTGCAGGCCAAACGCTTCCAGGCTCAGACCCTTGGCACCACATACGTCTATGACTTCCCTGAGATGTTCAGACAGGTGAGGTGATTCAGTTAAGATTAAACTTGTTCTCACTGTGATTGTGGCAGTCTTGTTTCTGGAATGTATTGTTGGATTGACATTAGCCCATTATCTTTTCTTTCTGTTGCCAGGCTTTGTTTAAGCTTTGGGGACCAGGAGACAGCTACCCTAAAGATGTGTTGATGTGTAATGAACTCGTCCTGGATTCTCAGGAGAGACTTGTGCAGATGAACAGACTACCAGGAGACAATGAGGTGCATCAATGAATTCTCACCGTATTCTTTGAGGGATTTCTCTTGCACAGGACTAATTCTCTATGGATCGTAGAAGAATGCTGTTCATCAATCAGAATTATGGAACTTGTTTACATTTTAATAATTTACCTTGTAAAGAAAAGATAGTAAATGTAAATAACTTTTTCGCAACAGTGAAGTAAATGGATGAACTCTGTGCAAGTCATTTGTTTGTCCTCCCTTTCCAGATCGGCATGGTGGCTTATCGCATGAAAATGAAGACTCCAGAGTACCCAGAGGGCCGAGATATCATTGTGATCTGTAATGATATTACCCATATGATTGGCTCATTTGGGCCCCAGGAAGATGAGCTTTTTTTACGGGCATCTGAGCTGGCCAGAGCAGAGGGGATTCCACGTATCTACATCGCAGCCAATAGTGGAGCTCGAATCGGCCTGGCGGAGGAGATCCGCCACATGTTTCAAGTGGCTTGGATCGACCCAGATGACCCTTATAAGGTGACCGAATGCTTAATGTGCGGTCAAATTTACCGTTGCTTGGCTGGGGAGTTTCGTGTTAATTTCGCTGTAATATCGCTAATGCTTTTGCATCTTTGTAAAATCAAACCACCACTGACTCTTGGGTTTTTTAATTCTATAAATCATATTTGATGCATGTTTGCTTTGTTTACCCAGCTTTTGTTCAAGTCTATTATTCTGTTTTGCCCATGCAGGGATTTAAGTACCTATATCTGACGCCTCAGGACTACACCCGCATCAGTTCCTCTAATTCTGTCCACTGTCACCATGTAGAGGAGGGAGGCGAGTCCAGGTAAGCCTACTGGTTTCAGTATGCACAGAAAGAACTATACCCAAACACCTCTCTCTCATCGGCTCTTATGTGTTCAAATAATGTCTCAGGTACATCATCACAGACATCATAGGGAAGGAAGAGGGTCTTGGAGTGGAGAACCTGAGGGGTTCTGGCACCATAGCTGGAGAAACTTCTCAGGCTTATAAGGAAGTCATCACCATAAGCATGGTAAGATCTAACATCTACCCATAATCTCATCAAACAATTTACAGTGTGCCAGGAACAAAATGCCAATGTTTATTATATATGCAATATATAATATATTATCTATGTTTTGGTCATCTAGTAATCATTCTGTGTTCCTCTAGGTCACATGTCGTGCTATAGGAATCGGTGCGTATCTGGTACGTCTAGGACAAAGAGTAATTCAAGTGGAAAACTCCCATATCATCCTGACTGGGGCTGGGGCACTAAACAAGGTGTGGAATTTCACATCTGCAGTCACACCTTAAACTGTGTCATGAAAAAAATAATGAAGATGAATAAAAAGTGTCATGTTTATGTGGGCTGTGTTTCCTTTATTCTTGAGAAAAGATGAAGCCACTTTAATTCAGTGATTTAAGTCTTGAATTTTTTAATTCTGTATTTCTTTGTAGGTGCTGGGTCGTGAAGTCTACACCTCCAATAACCAGCTGGGAGGGGTTCAGATCATGCACAACAATGGAGTGACGCACAACATTGTGCCAGATGACTTTGAAGGGGTGCTAACTATACTACAGTGGCTGTCCTACATGCCAAAGGTAGTCTGTTCACAGATACTGTAGGGTGAATCTCAAAACAAAAAAACATGCCCAGTTCATATTTATCCCCAAAATAAGAATAATATAAAACAGAAATCATGATTTAGAATTATAAGCAAATCCAGCTTCTTTTTTTTTTTTAATTATTAAATTAGCATAAAAAGGCACAAATTCTATCATTATATACACCCCTGTTAAAAAGTCAAATACTTCTATTTAGCAAAGATGCATTAAAGGGATGGTTCACCCAAAAAATTAATTACTCACCCTCATGTCGTTCCAAACCCGTAAGACCTTCGCTCATCTTCGGAACACAAGTTAAGATATTTTTGATGAATTCCGAAAGCTCTCTGACCCTCCATAGACAGCAAGGGTACTACCACGATCAAGGTCCAGAAAAGTAGTAAGGACATGGGTAAAATAATCCATGTGACATCAGTGGTTCAACCGTAATTTTTTTTTAAGCTACAAGAATACTTTTTATGCCCAAAGAAAACAAAAATAACAACTTTATTCAACAATTCGTCTCCTCCGCATCACCCTGGTACCATTTTGGAGAGTATCACGATGTATGCGTGTGCTTTGATCTGAACGTAAACAACATATACGCGTGATGCTGCTGACACAGAACAGCATACGTTGTTTACGTTCAGATCAAAGCATGCGCATACATCGTGATACTCTCCAAAATGGCACCAGGGTGATGCGGAAGACGGTTGAAGCCCTGATGTCACATGGATTATTTTATAAATATCTTAATTTGTGTTCTGAAGGTGTACGGAGGTCTTACGGGTTTGGAACGACATGAGGGTGAGTAATTAATGACAGAATTTACATTTTTGGGTGAACTATCCCTTTAAGTGACAGGCTTAAGGGACCTTATAATGGATCTTAATGACTCTAAACGGTTGTGTATACGTACTTTATTTATATATATATTACAATTTGCTTTACGGTAATGAAAGTTGGATGGTGAATGGGTTTAATATTCAAGGTTGAATTTTTATGCCAATAAATAAATCAGTTATATATATATTAGCGATGGTAAGATTCACAGATTTGCATCGGCATGAAAGTTAATGATGCGATGCATCGTAAAAAAGTGTGCATCGGATACAAGTTGGCATTTGTATCCCGATGCATCGTTTCTAACATATTTGCATCAGTAAAAAAAACTGTAAAAAATATATATTGTCCAGTTATGATCTTGTCAGGCTTTAGATGTAATCTTTAGCATGACTTTAAAGTAGTTTGGGCTGTTAGTCCAAATGACAAAAGGGCAAAGGTGTTTTTTGTTCGATTAAATTAACATCAAACCCTACTTTTGTTTGCTGTTATAATTTAGAGCAATCAAAGTCCTGTCCCAATAATGCCTCCTACTGATCCAGTTGAGAGAGAGATCGATTTTGTTCCCACAAAAGCCCCCTATGACCCTCGCTGGCTGTTGTGCGGACGACCCCATCCCAGTAAGAATCTAATTATCCACACAATCTGTTCTGAACATTTCAAGACATACCCTCGACCTGTCTGCAATGGAGCTCAGGATGATACTACAAGCTCAGCCTTTCTTTTCTTTGAATTTGTGTTGATAGCTGTGAAGGGAGCATGGCAGAGTGGGTTCTTTGACCATGGTACATTTATGGAGGTGATGGCTACCTGGGCACAGACAGTGGTGGTGGGTAGAGCCAGGTAAGAGACAGAACATTAAGTGAAGATGTCAAACAAACATTTGATTCAACTGAATATTCTGAGCTGAGTGAGACTGTGAATGTCCTACAGGCTTGGTGGGATTCCTCTTGGTGTCATTGCCGTTGAGACACGCACAGTTGAGGTTACCATTCCAGCAGATCCAGCCAACTTAGACTCAGAGGCCAAGGTCAGAGTCCTGACACTATGAACGTTTTAGGCCCTGACTGTGGTTCCCTTAAGTGTTCTCTGTGTTTGCTGTTAGCGTGTCCCAATTATTCTTATCATTATGCACTTAAAGTGTCTTTTCTGCCTCAGATCTATCAGCAGGCTGGTCAAGTGTGGTTCCCAGATTCAGCGTATAAAACCGCTCAGGCTATTGAAGATTTCAACAGGGAGAAAATTCCACTTATGGTGTTTGCCAACTGGAGAGGCTTCTCTGGAGGCATGAAAGGTATATAGCTGGTTTGCACTTTAATGTACCTGTTCAAACGTTTAGGGTTATGAAGTTTTTATTTTATTCAGCAGGGATGCATTAAATTGATCAAAAGTGACAGTTAAAAATAAATGTTGGCCTTTCTATTCATCAAAGAATGCTATCATGGTTTTTACAAAAATATTAAGCAGCACGGCTGTTTTCATCATTGATAATAATAAGAAATGTTTCTTAAGCACCAAATCAGCATATTAGAATGATTTCTGAAGGATCATCTGACAATGAAGACTGGAGTACTACTGACTACTGAAAATTCAGTTTTGCCATCACAGAAATAAATTACACTTTAAAATATATTCATAAAGAAAGCTGTTATTTAAAATTTCACAATATTACTGTATTTATCATCCAATAAATGCAGCCTTGGTGAGCATGTAAACTTCTTTCAGGAACATTTATGAACGGCAGTGTATCTGCAAAGTTTTAAGGGGTTTTCTTTCAACATGAATGCTCTGTGTGTCAGATATGTATGACCAGGTGCTAAAGTTTGGCTCTTACATCGTGGATGCCCTGCTTGAGTTCAACCAGCCTGTACTGGTTTACATCCCTCCCCACGCTGAGCTGAGAGGAGGATCATGGGTTGTGATCGACCCCACTATAAACCCTCAGCACATGGAGCTCTATGCAGATCGAGAAAGCAGGTGAGCATGTCGATACAGCTTCCCTGCACTACCCTTCTAAATCTTTGATCTTATTTGATCGTTCACCTCTTTTCCTCTTCAGAGGGGGTGTTCTAGAGGCCGAGGGCACAGTAGAGATCAAGTTCAGAAAGAAAGACCTGCTAAAGACCATGCAAAGGATTGATGCTGTGTATTCCCGTCTGGCTGAGCAGCTAGGTATAGCAATTAATCTCACTTGAACACAAATTTTCTCACTGGCCCAGGGAATGTTTACCTGCTGGGACACACGGTTTACTGTTGTACTCCACATAGGCAACCCGGAGTTACCAAGCCAGGAGCGTAAAGACTTGGAGGCCAAACTGAAGTCTAGAGAGGAGTTCCTTCTTCCCATCTACCACCAGGTGGCGGTGCAGTTTGTGGACCTTCATGACACTCCAGGAAGGATGCAGGAAAAGAGTGTCATCACGGTATAAACAAACGAAATATTAGGCACATATGAAGAGATTTTTTTTTCCATAGCTGTGCATCACATGCTAGAAATCTACCAGTTTTAAAGAGTGGCCTTTCTGCTTTTTCACCTAATCAAATGTTTTCAGGACATCCTGGACTGGAAGAACGCTAGGTCATTCTTTTACTGGCGTCTGAGGCGACTGCTGTTGGAGGAGGTGGTGAAGGGGGAGATCATGCAGGCCAACCAAGATCTGAGCAACGGCCACATACAGTCCATGTTACGCCGCTGGTTTGTGGAGACAGAAGGGACTGTAAAAGTAAGCAAACTTAATTCATGTATGATGGGAAACAAAAAAACTGAAGATTTCTGTTTTTCTCTCTTTCTCTGAAGTCGACAATTTGTAACACAAACTCAGACAATTCTTGATTTGTTCCCATCTACCACCAGGTGGCGGTGCAGTTTGTGGACCTTCATGACACTCCAGGAAGGATGCAGGAAAAGAGTGTCATCACGGTATAAACAAACGAAATATTAGGCACATATGAAGAGATTTTTTTTTCCATAGCTGTTGATCACATGCTAGAAATCTACCAGTTTTAAAGAGTGGCCTTTCTGCTTTTTCACCTAATCAAATGTTTTCAGGACATCCTGGACTGGAAGAACGCTAGGTCATTCTTTTACTGGCGTCTGAGGCGACTGCTGTTGGAGGAGGTGGTGAAGGGGGAGATCATGCAGGCCAACCAAGATCTGAGCAACGGCCACATACAGTCCATGTTACGCCGCTGGTTTGTGGAGACAGAAGGGACTGTAAAAGTAAGCAAACTTAATTCATGTATGATGGGAAACAAAAAAACTGAAGATTTCTGTTTTTCTCTCTTTCTCTGAAGTCGACAATTTGTAACACAAACTCAGACAATTCTTGATTTGCCAAGAAGAAAACAACAGTTATTGTAAAACACTATTAAAAGTAGTTTCTGGTGAAGCTGCAATGAAATAGAAATATGTTGCCTCTGGAACTAACCGAAATTAATTGGTATTAACATTTCTAAAACTTAACCTGAAATAAAAATTAAAGATTCATTTTAAAATTTAAATGAAAACGGAAAATATGCAAATAAAAGTTAATTCAAAATATTAATAAATACTGTAATAAATAATACAAAAAAAACATTGGTGGGCACTGTAGTCTAGCTTTGCTAGCTAAATTAAGCTAACTCTAACTTCAAATGTATCTTCATCAAACTTGACTATAATGAAGTTGATATTCATCCCATGTGAAGTAATTGTTTGATAATTGGATCTTTCAGGCGTATCTATGGGACAATAACAAAGTGGTGGTAGAGTGGCTGGAAAACCATCTGTCACAGCAGGATGGAACATGTTCAGTCATCAGAGAGAACATTAAATACTTAAAGAGGGACTACGCTCTCAAACACATCCGCAGGTAATTTTCTCCCCTCGGATAGGCATTTAATTAGATTTTTTTGTGTGTAAATTTTCCCATGAATGCAATAGAACACACTACTGTAAAATACAGTAGTTTGGGATCGGTTAGATTTTCTTATGCTTTTCAAAGAAGTATCTTATGTTCACCAAGGCTGCATTTATTTGGTTGGAATTACAGCAAAAACAGTAATACTGTAAAATATTATTACAATTTAAAAGAGCTTTTTACTATTTTAAAATGTAATTTATTCCTGGGAAGGAATTTCAGCAGCTATTACTCCAGTGTCACATGATCCTTCAGACATCATATGCTAATTTGGTGCTCAGGAAACATTATCAATGTTTCAAACAGTTATGCTGCATAATATTTGTGATAAACTGCTACATTTTTAGGATTCTTTGATAAACAGAAAGTTGAAAAGAACAACATTTATTTAAAATGTAGTTGTTTGTTTAAAGTGCCCCTATTATGGATTTTTGAAAATTACCTTTCATGCAGTGTGTAACACAGCTCTAAATGAATGAAAACATCCTGCCAAGTTTTAAATCTGAAAGTGCACCGTGTATAAAGTTATTGTCTCTCAAAAGAAAGAGTCGACTCTGAATCATTGAAACGAGTCGTTTTTAAAACGAATCCCAAGCCATTTCATGTTGACGTCAACATGAAACATTAGCATATGTTTTTCCCGTTGATCTGAATGAAAATGCAAATTCATTCTTTGCCACTAGGTGCCGCTGTTGGAGCGGTAAAATAGCTGTTTCCCCGGTAACGGCTGTAAACAAAGCAGCACTGCGCTCACAAACGCTGCTTTATCAGGCATTACCAGTGTTGCCAACTTAGCGACTTTGTCGCTAGATTTAGCGACTTTTCAGACCCCCTTAGCGACTTTTTTCCAAAAAAGCGCCTAGCGACAAATCTAGCGACTTCTTGGACAAACCTTATTTAGTCTCTGAGACCCGGGGGTACTGCTGCGCGAGCGCAAGGTCTTGTTTTCACAGCGCGCACACACCTCTCTCTGCGTCTGATCTGTTCAGCGAGCGGCAGATAGGAGCAGTGCTTTCAGGTAAAATAGATATTCTGTCGCTTCTAACTCTATTTTACATGCAAATATAGCCAAAATCACAGCAGAGCCATTGTCTAGATATTCTGTCGCTTCTAACTCTATTTTACATGCAAATATAGCCAAAATCACAGCACAGCCATTGTCTTTATCTTGTGTATTTGATTTCATTAGACGACGTCTCGATTATAAATCAGGATTTTAGTGCAGATTAACATCTTGTAAGGGAGAGCTGGTTAGACTTAATGGGCTGCGTTTCAGTCACTATTTCATATTCATCCCATTTTCTGGCAACAGAAACAGTGAAATATATCAATGAAAACAGTTCTGTTGAGAATTTGGCTGAATTAAAATACAGTTTGTGAGCACAGAGAGGCAAGACAATAAGACACACTGACGTCATGAATATGCTAATTGGCGTATGATGTCATTTATCGACGTTTAGCGACTTTTCAAGCAGGCTTTAGCTACTTTCCATTGAAAGAAGTTGGCAACACTGGGCATTACAGGCAAGATTAAACGAAAATTAGACCAATCGACCAATCACCGCCGATTAGCGTCACGCAAAGGAGGGGTTTGGAAAAATGAATCGTTGAGCGAATCGTTTGGGAGTCGTTGAGCAAGTAAGGTAAAAATAAATGCATATTATAAGACAATGAAAGTGTTTTTTGACCTTGCATGCATGTCAACCTGTTGTTGGGGACTCCTAAAACCAAAATATGAACCTTTCATAACCCATAATAGGGGCACTTTAAAAAATGTCACTTTTGATCAATTTAATGTCACTACAGAATAAAAGTAAAAAGTACTTTTAGAAAAAAATCCCCTAAATGACCCCAAACCTCCAAAAAGCCTCTAAACCTCAAAGCCAAAGCTTTGCATCCAACACCATTCCTGGTTTTCCGTTTCTCAAATCTGTTTTATAATAACAATCAAACTTTAAGTCAGATTTAGCACAAACACAATGACCAGCAAACAGTCATTGGTTGTATAAGCACACCTCTTTTAAAACTTGTCCTGCATTATATGTTTAGTTTAGTCCAAGCCAACCCAGAAGTGACCATGGACTGCATCATCCAGATGGCACAGAACATCACTCCCTCACAGAGAGCCAAAGTCTGCCACCTGCTGGCCACCTTGGACAACTCTACCAACAGCTGATCACATCCATGCCATTGAAATAAACCTACAGAGAGATGATATCCAAGTGGTATTATTAATTAATAGGGCTTTAAAAGTCTAATTTAAAAGAAAAAAGGACCGTTTTTGGTTGGTTCTTTGGATCAACACATTGGTCAGTAGCCTTAAACGCACAATTATAAATGTCCAGCAATCGCATAGTCCACCTACTCATCTTAGTGCACACAGTTGCTGTTAGTGTGACTCACAGAGACCATGTTAGGATGGACATTTCTCAGCGGAGCATTTCTTTAAACTCGCTCTCAAGAGAGGGAAACTAGTATACAGTGTTTATCTGTTCACATTTGTGCCTTTGTGTCCTTTCTGTGGAAATAACCGACTGATGAATGTACAATGAGCGGACAAGACTGAATATTAGATGGTTTTAGGGAATCACCGATGCTTGGAGCGCACATTCATGCGGTGTAGCACTTCCTCAGGAATATATGCAACATTAATTAAGCAGAACAAACTATTATATCTCTATTATTAGAGCGAAGTAACCGTATTACACCTAAATACAATCACTGTGTAGATATCAGGGCAATTCTTGATGATAGCTTTCATCATCGAGTAGTTATGAACAAACATTGCATTGCAAAATGCTGTAATGCTTGCAGAATTGTTAATGTACATTCAAATTGTCATGAAATTCATTTATCTGTTCATATTGAATGTACATTAACTAATCTGCTTGGTGTTAAATATACCACATGCTAGTGAAAGTAGTTATACAGCAACCCTGTTATACAGTGTTATCAATATCAGGGCCACTGTATATTTTAATGGCTTGAACTTTGGTTGTTTGTATAGTTCATTACAGACAGGTGTGTTTGATCAGGGTTGGAGCTGAGCTCTGCAGGAACAGGGTTGGGCACCCCTGTTATACAGTGTTATCAATATCAGGGCCACTGTATATTTTAATGGCTTGAACTTTGGTTGTTTGTATAGTTTATTTCACATGACTGCAGGTAATTCTTCTGTTCATATGAATGCAGCCGTACAGTATGTGCTGGTTCTATGAATGGATAAATATGTGTACCTACTGATGCTGTACTGTACTCAGCTGTTGATTCTGATTAAAGAAGACTTCTTGATCAGATGTAATGCCTTTAATCGAGTTTGTGTGCTTTTAGAACATACAAGTCCGATTAATACTAGAGCCAAAGTGCCTGACTTTGTCGACTGTTTATCAGGCTGTTTTTAAAAAGAGATTTATAATTATGGATTAAATAATCCGTGTTTTCATCTTGGTGAGTTTGTGGTCATTTATCCAATTCATAATGATCTTAATCTTAGAAATACAGATGGGTCGACATTTTGTTCAGTTGTGTATATATACAGTATTTGCTTTGTTTTTGCCAAATTATTCTACCCGCACTCTATATGCAGGGTGGCATTTCATTTATGTAATGTCACTAATATTGTCACTATTGTCACTAATATTATAACAGTGCCACAGGCTGATCTCCTCCATGCCACGCCGCATTGAAGCAGTAATTCGTGCAAAAGGAGCCCCAACCAAGTATTGAGTACATCATTAAACCTACTTTGGAGATCTTGAACATTTCTGTTCTGTAAATCTTTTTTTGATTGATCTTTCAGAAAATATTCACATTTTTTGAGATGCTGAATTTTTCATTTTCCTAAGCTGCAAGTCGTAACCATCAGAATAATAATTTAAAAAAAAAACCTCTTGAAATATTTCAGTTTGTGTGCAATGAATCTAGAATATAGGAAAGTTTGCTTTTTTGAATTAAATTACAAAAAATAAAGAACTTTTCCATGATTCTAATTTTTTTTAGATGCACCTGTAGTTGAAAACATTTGAAATTTTGAAAAGTAATCAAATGTAATCCGTTACATTACTTTAATAAAGTAATTGAAATAGTTACTCTACTTATTACATTTTAGATAGGGTAATCTGTAACCTATTACATTTCCGAAGTAACCTTCCCAACACTGGTCATGTAAATGCATATGCAGCTAAAAATTAAAGTCATTAGAATTAAAAGCAAGTTAAATGAATACATCTTTCAATCTGAATCTGAAATTTTATTGCTTGCATTCAAAATATTTAGATATGTACAATAAAAAATGATTCATGTCACCATTTCAGCTCTTTTCATAAATATAAATAATAAACAAACATTAAAGAGCAGATACAGTGTCTATCACAGTACAACAAAAGACACACAACTACAGTTACAAGGCTAACAGTTACATGGACAAAATGAGAAGAAAACAAGTTCCTTTTATGGTACAGAAAAAAGCTTGGCAACACCCAAAATCATAATTCCCATGATTTGATCTTTGTTCCTTAAGTGTTGTGTTAACTCACAATTTGCATTAGGCGTATAATGATAACAACACTGTAGTTTGTATGATTACGTTCGGCCACAATGCCAGTATCTGCACTGAGGAAATCTAAACTCCTTATCAATCATACTCTCTCACCATGCAAATTCTCTAAAAAAAAAACAATTGCTGATTTGGTCCCTTCAAACCCATTGCTTTTAATGCAATTAATACAGTCAATGCAAATGACACCTTTGAATACTGTGACGTCACCATAAATGCTACTCAGTTCAGGATATCGTAATGCTTTCTATCTGATGTTGCAACAATTTTGCTAAACATTTTTGGCTGCCTTGGAAGAAATCTGTGTTGCAGGATGTTTTTTGGAGTCTGACACGCCACGAAGGCTAGGATTGAAAGCTTTATAGATGGTCCTGGGAAGTAAAGCTCAGCTTGTTTAATTTCTTGCTGGTGCAATTAAAGCAAAACGATAGGCTTTGTTGCTCCTTGTGTGTTCATGTACTGGTTAGAAAGGGCATCCACAGCCGAGTATGAAGAGTAGAGGCCTGTCACCTGCAGGTCTGGGTAAGGCAGTCCTCCTGCATTGGACACAGGCGTGACATTGCCAGTGTCCAGGTCACAGTCAGACAGCCGAAGTGGGGAGTTACTGAGTGTACCTAATGCCTCCAGGTTAAAGCTGTCATCCTTCATCTCCTCCCACAGGTTTCCTGCAATCAGAAGAGGAGAACTGTGTTAGATATCAGCTTAGATACAAACAAACGTTCTGAGCTTTCAATATTTTAATATCAGTCGATTATTAACATAGTTACCTTGCCAGGCGAAGTCCATAATACTTGGGTCCAGTGCGTCCACCTCTGAATTCATGTCGGTGTGAACCGTGTAGAAGTCGCTGTGCGAGCTGTTTGTCAGGTCGGGGACGGTGTGGAGAGGGGGTGTCTGAGCAGGAGCAGGGGAGGCCGGAGCCAAGCGAGACTGATTCTGGAGCTGCATTTGAAGGTGCTGATGCATAGGGAGGCACTGTAGAGAACATTCTGTCATCAGAGAGAACATTAAATGCTTAAAGAGGGACTATGCTCTCAAACACATTCGCAGGTAATTCACAGTAATACTGGAAAATATTACTACAATTTAAAAGAGCTTTTTAACATTTTAAAATGTATTTTGTTCCTGTGATGAAATAAATCAAAGCTGAATTTCAGCAGCTTCTGTATTACTCCAGTGTCACATTATCAATGTTTCAAACAGTTGTGGTGCATATTATTTGTGATAAATTGTGAAACATTTTTAGGATTCTTTGATGAACAGGAAGTTTAACCGCATTTATTTCAAATGTAATAGTTTTTATAACAATGTCACTTTTGATCAATTTAATGTGTCACTGCAGAATAAAAGAATAAAAAATGTTTTTTAAATCCCGAAATTACCCCAAACGTCTGAGCAGTAGTGCACTTCATTTTTTTTAATTTGGTGAACAAAAAACAAAAAAACAAAAAAAAAAGCCAAAGCTTTGCATCCAACACCATTCCCAGTTTTCCATTTCTCAAATCTGTTTTGAGATTGATTCTAATATGATTCTCAGTTGAACTTGGTCAAATTTACCACAAGCAAAATGACCAACAAACAGCAAACAGTCATTAGTTGTATAAGCAAAACCTTTTTTAAAACAGGAGACTTATGTATCCATAAAGTCATTTTCTCATGGACTTGTCCTGCATTATATGTTTAGCTTGGTCCAAGCCAACCCAGAAGTGACCATAGAGGCATAGACTGCATCATCCACATGGCACAGAACATCACTCTCTCACAGAGAGCCAAAGTCTGCCACCTGCTGGCCACCTGGACAACTCTACCACCAGCTGATCACATCCGTGCCATTTAAATAAACGTACACAGAGAGATGATATTCGGTGGTATTATTTAATAATAGTGCTTTAAAACTTTAAAACAATATAAAAAAAAACGAAAAGAAAAAAATGACCGCTTTGGTCGGTTCTTTGGATCAACACATTGGTCAGTAGCCTTAAACGCACAATTTTAAATCTCAGCAATCCTATAGTCCACCTGTTCATCTTAGTGCACAGTTACTGTTGGTTTGAATCACAGTGACCGTGTTCACATGAGCACCAGAGCATTTCCTTAAACTCACTCTCAAGAGAGGGAAACCAGTATATAGTGTTTATCTGTTCACATTTGTGCCTTTGTGTCCTTTTTATGGAGATAACCGACTGATGAATGTACAATAAGAGGACAAGACTGAATATTAGATGATTTTAGGGAATCACCGATGTTTGGAGAGCACATTCATGCTGTGTAGCACTTCCTCAAGAATATATGCAACATTAATTAAGCAGAACGAACTATTAAATCTCTATTATTAGAGTGAAGTAACAGTATTCCACCTAAATAATCACTATGTAGATATCAGGGTAATTCTTGATAATAACGTTCATTTCTGATAACATACAGTAGTTATGAACAAACATTGCATTGCAATATATAGGCTACTGTAATGCTTAGAGAATTGTTAATGTACAATCAATTTGTCATGAAACTTTGATTCGTTTATCTGTTCATATTGAATGTACATTAACTAATCTGCTTAGTGTTAACTATATTTCATAATAATGAAAGTTGTTATAAAAGTGTTATCAATATCAGGGCAACTGTATATTTTAATGGCTTGAATTTCGGTTGTTTGTATAGTTTATTTCACATGACTGCAGGTAATTCTTCTGTTCATATGAATGCAGCCGTACAGTATGTGCTGGTTCTATGAATGGATAAATATGTGTACCTACTGATGCTGTACTGTACTCAGCTGTTGATTCTGATTAAAGAAGACTTCTTGATCAGATGTAATGCCTTTAATCGAGTTTGTGTGCTTTTAGAACATACAAGTCCGATTAATACTAGAGCCAAAGTGCCTGACTTTGTCGACTGTTTATCAGGCTGTTTTTAAAAAGAGATTTATAATTATGGATTAAATAATCCGTGTTTTCATCTTGGTGAGTTTGTGGTCATTTATCCAATTCATAATGATCTTAATCTTAGAAATACAGATGGGTCGACATTTTGTTCAGTTGTGTATATATACAGTATTTGCTTTGTTTTTGCCAAATTATTCTACCCGCACTCTATATGCAGGGTGGCATTTCATTTATGTAATGTCACTAATATTGTCACTATTGTCACTAATATTATAACAGTGCCACAGGCTGATCTCCTCCATGCCACGCCGCATTGAAGCAGTAATTCGTGCAAAAGGAGCCCCAACCAAGTATTGAGTGCATAATTAAACTTAATTAAAAACGTAATTAAAATCAAATTTTTTTTGATTGATCTTTGAGAAAATATTCAAATTTTTTAAGCTGTAAGTTGTAACCATCAGAATTAAAACAAAAAAAACCTCTTGAAATATTTCAGTTTGTGTGCAATGAATCTAGAATATAGGAAAGTTTGCTTTTTTGAATTAAATTACAAAAAATAAAGAACTTTTCCATGATTCAAATTTTTTTTAGATGCACCTGTAGTTGAAAACATTTGAAATTTTGAAAAGTAATCAAATGTAATCCGTTACATTACTTTAATAAAGTAATTGAAATAGTTACTCTACTTATTACATTTTAGATAGGGTAATCTGTAACCTATTACATTTCCGAAGTAACCTTCCCAACACTGGTCATGTAAATGCATATGCAGCTAAAAATTAAAGTCATTAGAATTAAAAGCAAGTTAAATGAATACATCTTTCAATCTGAATCTGAAATTTTATTGCTTGCATTCAAAATATTTAGATATGTACAATAAAAAATGATTCATGTCACCATTTCAGCTCTTTTCATAAATATAAATAATAAACAAACATTAAAGAGCAGATACAGTGTCTATCACAGTACAACAAAAGACACACAACTACAGTTACAAGGCTAACAGTTACATGGACAAAATGAGAAGAAAACAAGTTCCTTTTATGGTACAGAAAAAAGCTTGGCAACACCCAAAATCATAATTCCCATGATTTGATCTTTGTTCCTTAAGTGTTGTGTTAACTCACAATTTGCATTAGGCGTATAATGATAACAACACTGTAGTTTGTATGATTACGTTCGGCCACAATGCCAGTATCTGCACTGAGGAAATCTAAACTCCTTATCAATCATACTCTCTCACCATGCAAATTCTCTAAAAAAAAAACAATTGCTGATTTGGTCCCTTCAAACCCATTGCTTTTAATGCAATTAATACAGTCAATGCAAATGACACCTTTGAATACTGTGACGTCACCATAAATGCTACTCAGTTCAGGATATCGTAATGCTTTCTATCTGATGTTGCAACAATTTTGCTAAACATTTTTGGCTGCCTTGGAAGAAATCTGTGTTGCAGGATGTTTTTTGGAGTCTGACACGCCACGAAGGCTAGGATTGAAAGCTTTATAGATGGTCCTGGGAAGTAAAGCTCAGCTTGTTTAATTTCTTGCTGGTGCAATTAAAGCAAAACGATAGGCTTTGTTGCTCCTTGTGTGTTCATGTACTGGTTAGAAAGGGCATCCACAGCCGAGTATGAAGAGTAGAGGCCTGTCACCTGCAGGTCTGGGTAAGGCAGTCCTCCTGCATTGGACACAGGCGTGACATTGCCAGTGTCCAGGTCACAGTCAGACAGCCGAAGTGGGGAGTTACTGAGTGTACCTAATGCCTCCAGGTTAAAGCTGTCATCCTTCATCTCCTCCCACAGGTTTCCTGCAATCAGAAGAGGAGAACTGTGTTAGATATCAGCTTAGATACAAACAAACGTTCTGAGCTTTCAATATTTTAATATCAGTCGATTATTAACATAGTTACCTTGCCAGGCGAAGTCCATAATACTTGGGTCCAGTGCGTCCACCTCTGAATTCATGTCGGTGTGAACCGTGTAGAAGTCGCTGTGCGAGCTGTTTGTCAGGTCGGGGACGGTGTGGAGAGGGGGTGTCTGAGCAGGAGCAGGGGAGGCCGGAGCCAAGCGAGACTGATTCTGGAGCTGCATTTGAAGGTGCTGATGCATAGGGAGGCACTGTAGAGAGAGAGTGACCACTGGTTGGGGCTGCATCTGCGCTGGTATTGGGAGGGTCGGCCCTGGTGGGCAGCTGGGCAAGCGAGTCATGCCAGTCTCAATGGACTTTTGTCTGCACCTCTCCGGTCTGTCTGTAATGAGTTTGTCTAATTCATCTGGTAAAAGAAAAAGTAGCAAAACAGGACAATATTAATGACAGGTTAGATTTCTACCGTTACTTGTCTGCTCTAGTGTCGGTACTACTTCAGCTTATGCTTTGCATAGTGGTACTATGAATATGGTTGGTTCTTGTATGATAAAATGCCTGTGTGGCTCCTCATCTCCTCAAGTCGCTTTAGATTAAAGTATCTGATAAATGACTGAAGCCTGGAATACACTACATTAATCATTACCAGAGTTTTGCCCCGTTTTACAGTGTGGAGGAGTCAACGCTAGTTGCGTAAAGTCAGAGCAATTCTGCAGATTTTGTGCAGTAGGAGTACTGAAAATCTCATAGTGTGTCATGGGCACAGGCTCCAGTTTTTTGGGGGGGAAATGAAGCATGCTTGACATCTCTAGTCAATATTAGAATGCATAGCGTTTTCATTTGTCATGTGTCTTCCTAGAAACAAGGCGTGTATTTCTGCATGAGTTTGCTTTGTGACTTGAACCAGCCTTAAATGTAAGAAAATGCACTGCTGTGATGCAAGAGTGTTGTGGGTGGTTGTCAGATCAAAGATGTCAATCAAAGATGAAACTGTTTCCTAGCACTCTAATAGTCAACGATTTGAGCCCTGGATTGGCCATGCTGCGACGGTTTGCTGTTCTTCAAAGCCATGGCGATCAGACAGCTGAGAAAAGATATCAAACATAGTCAACTTTAGATAAATAAAATCTTTAATGCCTTTAATGTTTTTCAGAGGCTGTCGCAGTGAACCTTATTTCACCTGTAGGAGTAGATGGGTTTAGGAAAAGTCTTGGGCTGCAAGTCCTGGTTGTGAGCAGTAATACGGGGTTGAGGAAACAGACTCTGGCTGTTGTAGTTGCCATAAATCCCACCGGGAGAACACTAAAGAATGTAACACAGAAATGGTATCTTGATATATAATATTACTACTTTGAACAGTCCTTACAAATAATCCCAATTACTGAACCAACCTGTTGGTTTGCCTGAGTGAAAGTGAGAACTTGTTGAGGGGCGGTCTGGTACACTGATGCGGCACACGGAAACCCAGGGGAAAACTGGGGCATCTACAAAAACAACACAGAATACATCTATAAACACAAGATTATTTTAGCTCTATTACAAATGGTTGTTAAGTTCTGAATTGGTTGTATACGTAATATGAAATTGTTTGAAATCTGAAACCTCACTCACGCTACTGATGGCCAGAGGGCTGTGCTGCATTTCACTCTGTAGCTGAATCACAGATCCTGCTCCTCCTGCTACCGTCATGCTATTCAGCTGAGCTGAAAGGTTCAGCAAAGTGTTTTTTTAGGGATTCAGTCCACTACTGTTAAAGGGTTAGTTCACCCAAAAATGAAAATTCTGTCATTAATTACTCAGCCTCATATCGTTCCAAACCTGTAAGACCTTCGTTCATCTTCGGAACACAAATGAAGATGTTTTTAATGGAATCTGAGAGCTCTCTGAGCCTCCATAGACAGCAAGGGTACTACCACGATCAAGGTTCAGAAACGTAGCAAGGGCATCGGTACAACAGTCCATGTGACATCAGGGGTTCAACCGTAATTTTACGAAGCTACGAGAATACTTTTTGTGCGCATAACATAATTTATTCAGCAATTCTTCTCCCCCAGTTTACCATCTTCCACAATTTTGGAGAGTAACCCAGAACGTAATCAGCGTTGTTTACGTTCAGTAGAAAGCGCGCGCATTCTTTGCGCACAAAAAGTATTCTCGTAGCTTCGTAAAATTACGGTTGAACCACTGATGTCACATGGACTGTTTTACCGATGTACTTGCTACGTTTCTGTGCCTTGATCGTGGTAGTATCCTTGCTGTCTATGGAGGCTCAGAGAGCTCTGATTCCATCAAAAATATCTTAACTTGTGTTCCGAAGATGAACGAAGGTCTTACGGGTTTGGAACGACATGAGGCTAATTAATTAATGACAGAATTTTCATTTCATCATGGATGAACACCCTTTAAGGCACAGCTTTCTAAAAATCCTTTTTTTAATATTCATTAAAAAAAAACTGGGTCAAAGAATAATCTCAAGGTTTGGTAAAAAAAAAAAAAAAAAAGTAAAATGGCAAATATGCTAAAGACATAAAAATGACAAATAAATAAATGTGAATGCGAATAAATAACAGCCTTTAATTAAAGGCTAAGATATCCAGTTTGACGTCGGAGATGTTGTTGGATGAATTCAGATTTTTCTTTCTTTTTTTTTGGACTGCCATTTTTAACTCAATCCATTCTAACCATACACAGTCTATAAAGCTCCTGACCTGTCTGCCGCTCCAGCAGGCTGTTCTGAGCAGAACTGGCAAAATCAGGTCGTCCAGGTCCTATCTGCTGCAGTCGGGGAACATCCACAGAGGTGAGCCAGGACAGGGACTGAAGATCACCAGGCAGCTCGTCTTTCAGCTGCGAAGGGTCAGTAGTCAGGAGTCTACAAAAACACAGTATAACTCTCAGTGCTAAAGCACAAATATGAATTTTATATGAAAAAAGAGAACTGTGCAAACAATTGCACTTCAATTCAATTTTGTCTTCTAATTGTCAGTTCCTAATGTTACATTCGTATTATTTTTGGCCTACATAAACTAATTCTATTCTTTTCTTTTTTAACAGGTTTTCTTGTAAATAGCTAAACAATAAAGTCTATTTGTAAATCTGTTGTTTAGGGATGGAAATAAAAATACTCTCACCCTCTGATCTAATCCAGTGCAGGGAGAATTATTTACTCAGCCATTTCTTCATTTGGACGAAGCATCAAGAAAGCAGAGAAACCCTCTTGTATTCTCTCCAGACTTCACTACACACTCGCTATTCAGTCCAATAATTAGGGTCGCTATGACAACCCTCACTTTTCAGTTATTTTGTATGTCTGGACACTTCAGTGCCCCCCTGTCCATTAAACCAACCTCTAACAGTGGTCAGGTGACTACCGCCTTCTTCACTGTCATTGGCTGAATCATATGTAAACAACGCATGAGATCATTTGAAACATGGGTATGTGGCACGCGTTGCCTGCAACAGTTGGTCCAGCCCCATTGAAAAATGATCACCTATTGTGTCCCAAACGACAAATCTGCACAGCGGCACGTGGCTCTATTGTTTCCCCCCCAGACCCTTCCTTGATTGTCTTTACTGGTTTTTTTTTTTAACCAACCCCTTGCATTAATCTACTGGAATGACAGGCCTCACACAACAGAGAAAAATAGGATGCCATCTGTTTCCCTGTCCCTTTCCACCCAACCCCTGTCCCCTTCTGCCCCATCCCCCCCGCCTGGAGGCATCAGACAGTACCAAAGGGGGGTAGCTGGGAGGGGGTCGTTGAAGGAGTTGGAGGTCAAGCCACACTGCACACACAGTCTTCCACCTGAATAAATTACAGCATTAAAGGAAGAACTTGGGGACATGGCCTTGAGCACCCTGATTGCCCTGGTTTGGAGCTTCTGAAAAATTATTCTTTTTACACACACACACACACACACACACACACACACACGGAGGCATCAGACAGTACCAAAGGGGGGTAGCTGGGAGGGGGTCGTTGAAGGAGTTGGAGGTCAAGCCACACTGCACACACAGTCTTCCACCTGAATAAATTACAGCATTAAAGGAAGAACTTGGGGACATGGCCTTGAGCACCATGATTGCCCTGGTTTGGAGCTTCTGAAAAATTATCCTTTTTACACACACACACACACACACACACACACTTGCTAGCATGAAACCTTAGACACTGAACATGTCAACACTACACTGTCATGTGCTTTGAAATGTCTTCCTAATGCCTATCCACATAAAGACATGAAAAAGACACCTTGCGAAGGGAATGGGACAGTTTAACAACTGGCTTTATAAGTTCTACTTCTTATTGATGAGCTTTAATCAGTCTTTTCCTGTTGAGTGTAAACATTTAATGGAATTAAAATAGATTTCTTCGCCCTTTCATTTTGTAGCAGAATTTTATTATATTTTTTTTAAATATCGATTTCCTCATTAATATTGGTCTCTATTAATTTTGTAAGCCAATATGAACTTATATTACTAAAGTGTAATTTAACACTGAACGAATAAACTGAAATGTTATCCTAAACAACTTAACTTCTGAGCGGCGCATGCGCAACGCTGACCTCATACGTCATCCGCCCGGAGCTGCTTCTGTGTACAACTGTTGGCGCCAAGCTACATTAAAGTGATTATTACGTTTTGAATATGGATATTTTTCTTACAATACTTATTATTTGAAAGCTGTGTAAGTCATTTTGGATAGAAGTGTCTGCCACAAGCTTACGTTTACATGTAATTAATTGCCACAACAACTGTTAAACTCCCTCAAGTTGTGTGTTGAATATTATATATTTTATTTAAATAATAATACCTATTTTATATATTTTTTATTTAAATATTCTATACAGAAAATATTTTAGATTATAATATTGTATAAAAATTATATTAAGTGCGTAGAATCCTTCACACAAAGCCAGAGAAAACGGATCTAAAACTGATTTTGACGTGACTATAACCGACAGTTAAATGTTGCCAAGAAGAGCATCCACTTGTTGTGTTGCCAGACAATGGCTGTTCTGTAACATCAGAAGCCCATTAACATTTAGTTTTAGAAAACGTTGTCTTACACTGCAGGTCTGAGATTGATGCACATTGATGCATATAATAAAGGAAAAGAATAATAATGGTATTTGTTATAGTACTGACTTAAAAACTGCGCTTCAGTAATTGGGAGGAGAGGGGGCTTGATTTTGGAAAGAATTCATAACATGCCACATAAACTCAAATTTAGGATCGTCAAGAAAAGGGGGCCTACATCCTTGTACTTATTAGCATTTCTGAAGTCTAATTGTAAACCCAGCTGTGTATTGTACAGTTTACGGTCATTAGGGTGCAGTTATACAAGTGGAAGAAAAAATGATTTTATTTGCTCATTGATGCAAACCATTACGTGTCCCACAGAAAGGGGGAGGCGGGCGCACACAGTCACGGTTTATCACAGCTCAAGTCGCCCTCGTTTACATTCTAACTGGGAGCCACTTCTCCTTGGTGACCCGTGGGGGCCCCCGCCAAGGTCCTCAATCCCTCCGTGTGCCGACAGCGGGCGTGTAAACAGAGCTGATGCTTTCTGACAGATCCATTCAGAGCAAAGATGATGTATTCTCTCGCTCCTTTCTTTTTTCACAAACCCCAATTCCCTGCCTCTCAAAACACACCTTTATTTTACAGAATAGGGAAGGTGGAGATTGTATTAAGATTAGCAGTGCTCTTCTTCATCCTGAAATTATCTTTTTATTCTCTAATCTGCTCAAGGTTCAAAAGCAGTGGGTTCAGCCATCAAAGTAAATCACCCCCTACCTGTAGTCTTGTGCGGAGGTGTGGTGACTTTGCACAGGGTTTTCATGAATTCCTGACATCCTGCTTGTTATTCCACTTTCAATCATCTTCTGGCAGATAAAACGCAAGTAAATGAACCATGCAAAGCAGAGATAAAAAAAAAGAAAGGGAATTTTAGAAATGTGCATTCCCGTGAAAGCGCAAATACACACAGTCAAAAAGTGTGACTATTTCCCCCCAAGAAAGTTACACTTTATTTTAAGGTGTCCTTATTACAGTGTAATTATACATTAAAGTATTGAGTATTATTAATTAACTACATGTTTATTTATTTAGTCATTTAGCAGACGCTTTTATCCAAAGCGACTTACAAATGAGGACAATAAAAGCAGTCAAAACTAACAAAAGAGCAACAATATATATGTGCAAATGACAAGTCTCGGTTAGCCTAACACAGTACACGTAGCAAGGTGTATATATATATATATATATATATATACACACATACATATACATATACACATACATACATATACACACACATACATCTCAGGTACTTACTATGTGGTTAGGATTAGGGTTTGGCTTAGGGTTACTTGCATGTAATTATGCATAATTAATTGTTATTATAATAGTAAGTACCTGTAACATGCGTAACAAGGACACCTTAAAATAAAGTGTTACCAAAAAACAATCTGACATGAGAACACACTAATTTGAAAATATTAATAAAGTAGGAAGTCACCAACAAAAACCTGAGACCCAATAACTGGGTGAGCAAGAAACAAAAAGATACAAATGTAATTTTTACAATCCAGTGTTGATGTGATAGTTGCTTTGTTGACTAAACGGAGATCATCAGACGTCTTCAGTCACCGTATAGCCAACCTGTCACGTCTCAATATTTCATATAAGTAATACTTAATTTAACCAAAAGGCGTTATTTCTTAAACATAGACGCGAAACTTTTTGCAGTTGTCTACAAAACACCAGCTATTAAATAAAGTCCTATATTTATGTCACACATCAGTGTTCATGCTGCATAATATGTCAGTCCGAAACAGGTGCGCATCATCTTAGCTTATTTAAAAATAAGAAAATGGAAACATGAAATAAACCGCATCTTACCTGTTAATGCTGCAGTTGTTCTGCGGTATAGAAAATCTTGGATAACGAGACAGAGGAAAGCTCTACTGTTGGTCGGGGCACTTGTTGTCCCGCAAGAAAAAACCGTTTTTTAAATTTCCCTCGTCTGTGCGGTTCTCTCTGGACGGTCATGCGCACTGCGTGAAGAGAGGAGGGGGTCCCAGCTCACTGACAGCTGTTGCCTTGCCTCCACAATCACCTAAATGATCTGCCAGAGCATCTCACCTGGTTTCCAATGCTTGTATTTCATCAAAACGTTCTTTCCTCAGAGATGTGCGTTTTTTCTCCGTGTTTTCTTTGTGCAGTAGGTTTCTTATCCCCCCCAAAAAATAGAAACGAAAAAGCTGAGAGTTTAGACAAAATCCTCCGTTTCTACTGGAAGCTTTGTTTTACAAACTACGGATTCCTATAAACTCGGAAAAACGAATATAAACGTCTATAAACACGAGATCTGTAACACATTGAGCAGTGATTTCCATGTTCCCCTGTAGCCATAGGCAACACAAAATAACACAAATAAGAGTTCCTGGTGTTGTTCACCTGTTTATAAGTAGAACCGTTATTGTTTTACAGGTTTAAATAAAGACACATCCTCTCCGTGCGGGTCTGTGAGATATTCTGTCCTGATAAGAGCAATAGTTCAGTGTTCTGATCTTGATTTAACCGCCTTTGAAGCCGCGGTCGTTTGCTACACTGCGGCGGGAAGAACGCGCTGAGTGGCGCGCTGGGCTTGACAGATTTCACACAGATATGACAGACTCGTAAGAGCAAGCAGAGAGTTAAAGGCTCTCCTGTGAAATAAATATGAGAGGCAGCAGATAATGATATTGACGACAGACACACAAAGTGTGTTTTAAATCCGTTTACTGTCATATATTTGGACACTTTATAGGCTATTAGTTACTTAATCTATGCTGAGTGCCACAAATGAACTACGTGAACACATCTAATTCTTTCATACTGCTGCTTATAACTACAAGTATTATTATTGTAATTAATAATTGAAAGATTAACGTTTAATATTTGCATAGTGGAGAATGGAAACCAGAATTGTGCAGTCACTTCCAAGAAATGGCACTTCCACAGATATTCAAGAATCTGATCATTTTCTATCCGTCTTTTAAACATAACTTCAGAACACTTTTTGAATTTTGAAATATAGGTTTCAAATATCCGGCCGGTGACGTTAATTGACTTGAACCACATGGGACACTACAGATGGTAAATCGCGAAGTCACAATGGTCACAATCAATGCGCGCTTGCAACGGACAAAAAGACGCTCCTACTGAAGAGCGCTGGGTCCTAAAGCCCGTGTGTTCTGTGCTTCTTTCAGGCTCAGCCACTGCACTGACACTATTTGCCAAGTTTGTAATGTGAAGGGAACGATAATGTAAACATAGCCTAAACATGTCAGTTGAATTAAGTTACTTTGTCATACAATTGCATGTATAAATCAGAGATAGAAGGGGTCGTGCAGTGGTGTGAGGAACACAACTTGATGTTGAATGTCAAAAAAACTAAAGAAATGATCTTTGACCCGAGGTTGGTGGGTGATTATAGTCCAATTTTAGTTAATGAGGAGGAAGTTGAGCAGGTAACAACATATAAGTATTTAGGTATCTACTTTGATTCTCAGCTGCAATGGAGTCATCAAGTGGACTACACTGTAAAAAATAAGTGTAATTTTAACTGTAAAATTTTGTAAAAACGCTACGGAAAAAAACTGTTAATAGGTTAACAGTAAGTACTATATACAGGGAAAAACTAACCAGACATTTCATGTAATTTTACAGTAAAATGTTGTTAATTTTACAGTTTTTAGAAGTAAAAATAACAAATCAATGTATAATTTACAGTCAAAAACGGTAAACTGATAACACGAGCTAGTCAGCGCTTGCATTTTTTGCGAAGGCTCCGGGTTTATGGAGTGGATAAAACTATCATGTTATTGTTTTACAGATCAGCTATTGAATCTATAATATGTTATGGTTTTACAATATGGTTTGGAAATTTGACTGTTAAACTTAGGTCACAACTTCAAAATGTGGTTAGAAGAGCTGGAAAAATAATTGGTATGTTGTCTCCACTTTCTCTTCAGGACATTTTTGAGAGGTCTGTTAGGAAGCAGAGTCTTAAAATTATTGGTGACCAAAGCCATATTCTCCATAAGGAGAACGAGCTAATGCCCTCGGGCAGGAGATTTAGGGTTCCAATCTGTAAAATGAATAGATACAAATGTTCTTTAAATCCATTATCTGTCAAATTATTGAATAAGTGATTGAAATTGTTGTGAGGGTAAGGTGATGGGTAACATGTAATGTTGGTGTATTATTAGGATTGTATAGGAATTATATGTTTTGGAATGGTGTAATTTTTATTTTATTTTATTTTTGTATGTTTGATCTGCTCTCCCAGTTGCCTAAGACAAATTTCTCCTAAGGGAGACAATAAAAGAGAAACTTAACTTAACTTAAAATAATTTTAGATTAAACAGGACGTTCCCAGACGCATCACACATGGTTTTATTTTACTGAAATGAATACCTTATTGTTTTTTCGTTATAGTGTTTTATGTTACTAGTCAAGTTGTTTAGTTAATGCATTATAGCAATGTTTTAGTGTGTATTTTATGTGTATTACCCTAATGATATTTTGCTCTTATGTCTCTTTGTTTATTAGACATGGTTTAAAGAAAGGTCGATTCTTAGAATCATTTTTTATGCACTTCTTCTGTTTTATGTAGTTTTTATGTCTGTTTATTTTAAGAAGCAAAGCAGATTTAGTGACTGAAATCAGTTAGACCTATATTATCATTATTGCTTTTATTACTTTTTAACAGCTACATGTACATGCAACTTGACTTATGACTTTATATAATACAAATTTATTTACTTTTGTGTGTAGAGGGGGGGAGGGGGGAGAGCAGAACGGGCCTGTGGTGTAAGGGGCGAAGGTAGCCTTGACAACAGAGGTTGTGAATGGGACAACTTTTAATATGACTGTGGATAGATGGGTGTGTGTAGTCCTACCTTTACAGTGCAATGGATTTGTTGTTTGCAATAGATACAGAACTCTAAGGCCATTTGATGAGAGCAAACAATTATTTTGAACAAGTTTAAAGTAATATTCTGTGCTCAACGTAAATGTATAGTTCACCCTTCTGTGGAACACAAAAGAAGATATTTTGAAAAAAGTTGTCAAACAATTTTGGTGACCATAAATTTCCATTCTACAAAAAAATTACAGAGACATTTTCACAATATCTTATTTGTGACCCTGGACCACAAAACCAGTCATAAGGGTCAATTTTTCAAAATTTAGATTTATACATTTACTGAATAAATAAGCTTTCCATTGATGTAAGGTTTGTTAGGATAGGACAATATTTGGCTTAGATACAACTATTTGAAAATCTGGAATCTGAGGGTGCAAAAAAACTAGTTCTTAGCAATGCATATTACTAATCAAAAATTAAGGTGCAACTTAAGACTGGTTTTATGGTCCAGGGTCACATTTTATGTTCCACAGAAGGAAAGGAAGTCAGTCATACAGGTTTGGAATGACATGAGGGTGAGTAAATGATGATAGAATTTTCATTTTTGGGCGAACTATCCCTTTAAACTCAGTCAACAGCATTTGTGACATAATTATTTATTACCAGAAAAGTTCATCTCCACTTGTCCCTCTTTTTCTTTAAAAAATGTGTAAATCTGGTTTACAGTGAGGCACTTACATTGTAAGTAAATGGGCTGATGCATTATTGTTAATATACTCACTGTTTCAATAGTATAGACATAAACAGCATGCATGTTAGCATGGTTTTGGTGTGAAATTCACATATCATTTCTGTGTAAAGATATATCCAATTTTACAATTATATTGCCATGACAGCAGAATGCCATAAACCTTAAAACATCAAATAATGCACAAGTTTCGACAATAATTATTGTAAGCATTTTTA